CTGTCCAAGTAATTTCTTTCTATTTTTAGTAGAGACGGGGTCTCTCTCTTGCTGAGGCTGGTCTTGAACTCCTGACCTCAAGCGATCCACCTGCCTTGGCCTCCCAGAGTGCTAGGATTACAGGCGTGAGCCACCACGCCCGGCCCACTCTTACCATGTGATCTCTGCACAAGCCAGCTCCATGAAGGCCTTCTACCATTGAGTGGAAGCCACCTGAAGCCCTCACCAGAGGCAGATGCTCAATCTTAAACATTCCAACCATCTGAAACATAAGCCAAATAAACCTCTTTTCTTTATAAGTTACCCAGCCTCAAGTATTCTTTTATAGCCACATTAAACGGACTAACATAATTATATAAATATATGGCTTATTCCATTTACTCATTAGGACAGCAGTGTGAAGAAAGTATGGTGAGTCCCATTTCCCAGATGACCAATCTCCAGCACAAAGAGACTAAGACCTTCTCCAGATTAGTGGCAGGACTGGAATGAGGTTCCACCTCTTGCCCTCCCCCACAATATAACCAGAAGCTTCCCATTTGGAAGATGATGGTTTTACATGTCCCCAGTATTGGGCCCTATGAGTACTTGCTCAACAATCCCTCATGTTGAAGAAGAGGATGATGAAGACGAAATCCTGTCCTTTGAGCCATGAGGCCAAGCTGTGGGGTCACATGGATTAGCAGGTCTCTAAGGTTAACTGTCGGGAGAAATAAGGGAACATGCCAGCAGGTAGAACAAGGGGCAATGATTATCCTCCTTTTCCCCATGTCCTCCAAGAGAGGAGAGCAAAAAATAGCAGGTCCTTCAAGAGACACCTCTGCTGCTCTCTCAATCTTTGCCCCCTTCCCACACCTTAATTTCCACCCTTTGTGACTGCACAGGATATAGACAGAAGGCAGGAATTGGGGTTCCCTCAGAAGGGAAAGATGGGAGGTGCCCAACGATGAGAATGGTGGATGAAGAAGCACAGGCACTGAAGTGAATGGCCTGGTGCTGGCTCATCCACCAAGCGCTCCATCTCCACCTGCTTCTGTGCCCCTTGCCATCACTACCACACAGCAAGGAGCCCACACATGACAGAAATATCTATTTTCCAAGTGAGGCTAAGAGAGTGAAGTGACTTACCCGTGAGATGAGACTGTCCCAGAGTTGCTGGCTTGGGTCTGGCATCATATTATATCCTGTCGGACAGATATAGTATGAGGCTTTCATTTCACCCCTCAAGAGCACAAAGGAAACACGCTTCTCTCACATAAAATGGGGCGGGGGAGTGGCAGGGAGGAATAAAGGGACAGGAAAACCAAGGAAACAGGAAGAAATGGGGTGGGTGGTGACTTCATTCTCTTACCTCAAACTCCATCATGGGGTCCATGACTCAGTTGACTGGAAATGGTGGAACTGCCTTCTTTCCTTCCCCCAGCCCCATCAGGGCACTCATCCACCACGTAGCAATGGGCCTGACTCACTGGGAAATTCGTGTCAGTATTTACCTTCTCTCCACATCCTCTCTAGGAGAATGGAAAGTATTTACTGTACACTGGAGAAATTTGACAGACACCACCTTAACCAAGTGATGAAGCTTAACATCACCAGTCACGTCCATGTCACGTAGGCAGCATGTATCCCCCAGATGTGATGTGACAAGAAGGGCACTTCCACTCAGGGGTAGTCTTTCTTAAAACCTACAACCATGGTCTAATCACAAGAAAAACAACAGACTAAGTCTGTATTGCTCAAGAATGTAAGGGTTATGAAAGTCGTCTGGCAGTTCTTCAAATGGATAAACAGGGAATTACCATAGGACCCAGTCATTCAACTTTTAGGCACATACCCAAGAGAAATGAAAACCCGTCTACATAAAAACTTGTACATAAATATATGTAGCATCATCATTCATAATAGACAAAAAGTGGAAATCATCCAAATGACCATCAACAGATGAATTGATGAACAAAATGTGATATATCCATACAATAAAATATTATTCAGCCATAGAAATGAGTGAATCCTGATACAGGATACGATATATTATTAATACATGAACCTTGAAAAATTATGCTAAAACAGGGAAGCCAGATGCAAAAGACCAAATATTGCATGATTCCATTTACATGAAATGTCCAGAAAAAGCAAATCTAGACTCATAAAACTTATCTGCATTTGCTGGGGCCAGGGGTGTGTGCCAGTTTAACTGCATTCAAGCATGGTAGGATTTCTTAAGGTGACTGAATCATCTAAAACTTGATTGTGGGGATGGTGGTAACATTCTATATGTGTACTGAAAACATCACATTGTACCCTTAAAATTCATAAATTTTATTGTCTGTAAATTATATTGGAAGAAAGCCATTTTAAATATGATATTGGCTTGGTTTTTTGTTGTACCACAGGAATGACCAAAGTTTTTCATACAAAGACTCTGATGCGCATGTTTTATATAAACATGAATGTATATAAAACTGTGGCTGTATCCCAGCCACGATGTCTCTATGTCCTGTGTTCCTCCAATGACCTTTCCCACCACCCCACATGCTACCTGAAGTCTGATTCACATCTGATCACTTCTATGTCCTCCAATTATGGCAATGGCTTGAGAGTGGGCCCATGACAGAGTCCAGGGCCTGCCCTCTGTGACTTCACTCCTCTCCAGACTTTTTCACATGATTCCACTTTGGGGAGACTAACTGGCACTACCTCTCTGGGTGTCAGTATGGCCATACTTATCAAAGGGCTACATAGGTACACACCACTTACACCAATAATTTGTTTTGTAGAAATTCATCTTCAGGACATAGTGAAGGATGTGGATAAGGATCCGGTTATAAGGACTGCCATCCTAATAACTCCCTTTCTTCATTCCCGGGCCTGAATTTAGGAGGGGAAACCAAAAGGGACAAAAAATCACTAAGAGGAAAAAGGAAGCAGAGGGCAATATAGTTATCAGCACACACACGCAAACACACATTCACACATTCATACATTAACCAGGTTCTGTTAATCCAATACTAGAATTCTCCAAAGACAGCTGCTGGGCTCCAAGAGGACATATTCAGCGTACCAGTGCAAACAGCCATAGGAACTGTGCCCTTCAGCAGGGCACGGAGCTTAAAAAGATGCCATCCACACAGTGTAGATTAATAGGGAATATCAGAACACTCTGAATAACATGGGGTTGTGAAAATTGATTATGTCACATCCATAGGATGGAATTACAGAAGGCAGTAAAAATAAGTTACAATGAAGACAACAATGAGAAATGATCTGTTGCCTAAACAATTATAGCCATAATTAACATTATTTCCAACTTGGAGACACAGACATTGTGGTACCATATTGTTAGGAATATATATTAGTAATAATATTCTCAATGTATTGTGTTAATGTAAAATTTTATAGGTTTCATGGTTTTGAAAGCATTTTTTGAGAAACACCACAAGGAAATGCTTACAAATGTATTTGCACATATATGAGCAAAGGTGTTATGTTTGCTATTGTTTATAATAAAACGTGGTAAAGGAACTAAGTTTGTGTCACAAGGTGAAATAAATTTGGCAGCATCCATATGATGAAACACCAACTTCATGTGAAAAAAATCCAACTAAAATTGTGCTGTAATTTAAAATGTTATCATATAAATGTATCTACATAGAAAAATGGTCATCATAAGGGCAAAAGCAGGTTGCAAAGACCATAAGTGGCCTGGATCCATTTTTGCTCACATAGGTCTGTAGCTGTTTACCAAGAAGGCTCAAAATGTAAAAATTAAAGTAATCTTTTCTTCCTTTCACATAGAGCTTTCTCTTCAGAGTACTGAGCATCTTCACTTTCTGCTTGGAGTCCATCAATATTCCTGTAGCCTGGAAATGCCCCATTTTCTACCCATACTTCCAGAAAGCTCCATAGAGTAGGCTTGAGCCAAACAGCTCCCTCCCAGCCCCCTGCTCAGTGACGTTCAAGCTACAGTTCCAGCTTTTGTCACGAGGGGGCACCAACGTACCGCCATCACAAAAGTTCTCTACAAAAATGTTAACGCAATGAGCAAAAAAATATACCCTACCCTAAAACCCAGCCTAGGAACCTATGTACAGAATGATTCTAATTCTGTCAGAAAAAATCCTGATAAGTGTAAAGGAACGCTGTAAAAACACATACTCCAGGGCAACCATATGATGAAATACCAGGTATCATGAGCAGCCCTTGGCAGTCCTTAGCAGGCTGACGTAGAGCAACCCAGGGCAGGTGGGGGAGGTGACTGAGAGAGGATGCGAACACTGGCAAGAGGTCTGGGCAGCTGTGTCCATAATGTCCTCGAGAGAGGATGACTAAGAAGGGATGGGAAAAGGTCTGGGAAGCCTGTACAGGGGTGGTTAATAAGGAGGGTAAATGCCCTGCTCTCTGCGAGGGACCCCTCTACAGTGTGGACACCTCAACCCACACTGATGACGAAAGAGATAGATGAGTGAATGCGGTGTGGATTTGGGGTGAACAGCAAAGGAAAATACTTTAATATACATGAGAATTTTCCAAAGAAAACTGTTGTCACAGTAAACCATTCCAAGACATTTGTTACTCTTTGAAAAATGTACTCCTTTTCATAGAAAGAAAGGAAAGGAGGGGAAGGGAGAGGAGGGAAGGGGAGGGGAGGGAAGGGAAAGAAAATGTACATAAAGCCCTAACACAGTGTCCAGCACAGAGTAAATGTTGAATAA